TCTGGGCATTGTCTCTCAGTCTGCACTGGGGAAGAGACAAGAAGAGTGATCATTTGAGACTGTGTGTAAAGAAACTACAGCTCTTTTTGTCTGAGGATGGTTATTACTCCCATGATTGTTTTTTTCCTTGAAATTGGGAATTTGAGAAAAAAATTGAAATGGGAGAGAGAAAATTCAAAAGGGAACTTTTACATTATGTATTTTTTAGAAATATGATAATTTTGGTTTAATTATTATTAATATTGCAGATGGGTTTCACTTTCCAGGTGTTTTCTAGAACAATTAGGAATTACTTTATTTCAAATTTAAGAGAATAAACCTTATGTCACTTTGCATGTACACAGGTCAGAGCATTGTTTGCCAAAGTCCATTATCGTTTCCTAATACTGTGCTGACAACTTGATACCTAGATAGATAATTAGGTCCTTGTCCAAGGAAATTTAATATACTATTTATCTGCAATGTAGCATCAGCTTCTTGTGTTCCCTCTGGTGTTAGGTCCTGTAGATAGTTTGGTCTCCTTTCAGCTTCTTCTATGGTTTTTAACATTTCTGTTCTGTTTTCTCCTGGGTTGTTAATTCCCATATTCATTGGGGATCACAGGTAGAAAACATACTCAATATCACATCTCCAGGTAGTGAAAAGAAAGAATTTCTTCCACTAACACATTCAGCAGCATCTCTTAAACTCTTGTGTTGTGAATTTGCAGGTGATGTCACAACTCGGTTCGATGAAGTTTTCTGGTTTGGGGACTTCAACTTCCGGCTGAACAAGGACCGGGAGACGGTGGATTCCATCCTGAGCCAGAACCCGGACACAGACGTGTCCAAGCTCTTGGTGTATGACCAGCTGACCAGCGAGATGAGTCGGGGTAAGGGGCAGCTGTTCCTCTCCCTCCTCTCCAGAAACAAAGATACCTGCACACAGGAGTAATGTCAGCCCAGTCCCCATTTCCTGGAGGCTTTTTTTGGTGAAGTTCCCTGAAGAAGGGAGTCAGCAGCTGTCAAATACAGTGGCAGTGTGTCAGGGGACCTGTTGCTGTAGTAGTTTGTTCTGTTTAATGTAACTTCCCAAGCCATTTGCTGCTGTTTGATCTGACTCCTCCATAACCTGGGCATCTTTCTGTCCCAGTGTCCAGGGAATTTAGATTTGAACAGCATTTGCAAAGCAGCACAAGCTTTCAGTGGAAGGGGAAGTGCATGGACCAGTTCTCTGTTTAACTGACCACTGACTAAACAGCCACTGGTTATTTTTTATCCTCTCCATGTCAGGATTGGAGCTTGCTCCCTTTCTGGAGCCCAAGCCCAGGTTTTTCTGGGCTGTACATGGCTGTTGTTTCTAGCCAGCGTTAGTAGACACAGTTCTAAGGAGGGAGGAGTTTGTTCATGCCATTCTCCCCTTCCCTTACAGGGTCTATTTTCAAAGGATTCCAAGAGGCTGATATCCATTTCCGTCCTTCCTACAAGTTTGACATAGGAAAGGACAGCTATGACACCACCTCCAAGCAAAGGACTCCCTCCTACACAGTAAGGGATGATTTCAGAAGTCAAAGGGGGTTCAGTTGTGCTGAGATTTGTTGCTTAAGGATATCTGGGACTTGTGGAAGAAAGGACTGTAGAATCTGTGAGCACAGGGAGAGCTTGGCACAGGCTGTTAACTTTATTTTCCCTGCCTTACATCCTGAGGGGGCTCAGAGCTGGCACAGAACTGTTGGGATCAGACAATGAATGGATCCCCATCCAAGGCCACGTTAATTCCACCAAGTGGAGGGTGATGAATGAATGGATTTGTCTCTTGTGAAGCTTTGCTGCTCTCCAGGGTGGGTGATGTGCAGAGGGAGTCACCCTCCCTGTCCCCTCTCCCCCTGCCTCCAGGACCGGGTCGTGTTCCGCAGCCGCTACAAGGATGACATCCAGGCTGTCAAATACTCCTCTTGTCCTGTCATCAAAACCTCAGACCACCGACCTGTGTTTGCCTTGTTTCGTGTCAAAGTGAGGCCTGGCAGAGACAAGTGAGTACCTCCTGCAGCTGCACATGATTGATTGCTCCAGTGACCCGAGGATATCCTCCTGTGTCTATCCCTGCAGCCTGGTTGGGTTTTACCCAGTGTATGCTGGTGGCCAGAGCACTAAGAGCTTAAACCTTGCCCTGACAGCTGAAATCCCTGCTGCCAGGTCTCTTAACCCTTCTGAGGGGGATAAACAGAGCCCACTGGAATTGAATGTAAATCTGTGCTTTATCTGAGATGCAGCTCTTTGTTTTCCCTATCAGCATGAGCAGCTTTCCTCTTCTCTTCCTTTTCCCCTGTTTAGGATCAGTTCTGTTTTCCCTCCCCAGTGGTGGCTGCAGTTCAGCACAGCTGGATGTCAGTGGAGTATTTTGAGATCCTCCACGTTCCTAATGTCCTGTTGTATTAGTAGAACTCCTTAGGAAATTTGGTTTGGAATTATTCTCTTTTTTGTGAGTAACATGGTCAGGGATTTCAAGACCTGAATATCTAAAAAAGTGATTTCTCAAAGTATTCGATCAGCAGTGCAATTGCAATGGGAATTTTTGTTTCTGGGTATTAAATACCCATTAAATAGTGTGTGATGGGCTGCTCAGGTTTCCTCTCTAAAAGACCAAGGTAAGAATAGTTGAGATGAACCACACCAGTGAGTACACAAAGTTAGCAATAACCTGGTGTAGCTTTTTAAATGAGTGGGTTTTAATTCAGAGTCATTAAGAAAGTCCTTTATATGTAAAAGGAGGTGAGTTCATACTAAAATTTAAAGTATATTTCCCTTTTACAACCAGCACTTAAAGTATTGTGAAAAACCTTAACTTGTTGCTGTGGAAGAACAACACTTGTTTCACCCACAGCAGTCACTGAATGCCTTAAGAAAGTAAAAATCAGATTTGTGGCCTTTGTTGTATGAAGTAGTAGGGAAATTCTGGGCAAACAAGAACCTGTTTATGCCCTGACCTGCTGGCTTGTGTTCCTGTTGCAGCATCCCCCTGGCTGCAGGGCTGTTTGACAGAGATCTGTATTTAATCGGAATAAGGAGGCGGGCCACGAGGGAGCTTCTGAGGCGCCGGGAACAAAAGGACCAAAGATCCAGCAGCATATGTAGCATTTCTTGAGCTGAAAGCTCTGCAGTGCTTGTGGTAGAGGTGCCCTGAAAGAGGATTTCAGACCGTGGCAAACTCTGCAGGGAATTGTCAGCATAAGCACCTCTGGCAGTTGTTGTGGCTTGTGAAGAATGTCTTAAACCTCATCCTGGATTCATTTGCATGAGCTAATCCATGTAGCTCAAGTGCTTCTGCCTAAGAAAAGGAGTCAGTTCTTTAAGACATCCATCCCAACTGGTATAATTGATTTATTTTTAACCAGACTATCCTAGGAAGCCACTGGGTGCAGACCCTTGGTTCCCCTCCATGTAGGGGCACAGCTGCTGGAACTGGCATCACCCAGAGGGGACCTAAGAAAAGCCTGCAGAAAGGTGAATTCTTTGTTTGTCTCTTTGGTTTGGTCAGGTTAACTTCCATCCAGTGTGGGGTTGGGTTTGCTCCTTCTCTGTAGCCAAGTGTTGCTATTCTGTACAGGGAGTAACAGGGACCAGTTCATGGCAGTTGTGTGTATGGATGGTGCTCCTGTGTTGGGCTTTTTGGGTCCTCTACAGCAAATTGTTTGTGAATGTACTCCTGTACATTGAAGTGTAGAAACATTGCCTTTCAATAATTGTTCTTTAGGCCTTCTGTTACTAAGGGGGTAAATATCAAACTCTCAGGCCATATATTTGTCTGCTGAGACTGCTTGAAGCCATCCCTTCCTGAACTCACTTGTCCTCCCCAGGGCTGATTAAGCACTACCTGCCTTCAGCAGCAGGAGCTGGAATTTATCTGAGAACAGGCACTGTGTGATGCTTCACCAAAGTGATGCAAGTGAGTGCACCAGGGAGGTTTGCAGAGCAACTGCAGCCACTCAGCTCCACACAGCTCCATTACCTCCAATCACGGTCAATTCCTTTTGGTTTTATTTTTCCAGATCAGTAAACTGTGAATAACTTGCTATTTCTGAGGTAGTGTTGTCTTAAGGCTATATATACTACAAGGACCAGTATGGCACTGGTAAAATGTTAAGTACAGCTAATAATTAAGAACTCATGGGCACAGATGGGATCATTAATCACCTTAGGACCTAAAACATCATGCAAACACCTTGGAGGAAGTGCTGCTGACTATGCAACCTGTCCAAGACAGGCTCCTGTTCTGCGGTACATTTATGGCACTGACCTGTCTGTAGCCATCAGGTATTTGGATTTCCTTTCTTTTTAAAGGAATAAAAATAAATTAATGCAATACCTTAAGTGAGAACCAGAGTTCTTTGTGTGGTGTGTGTTTGGGTGACCTGGGCCATGTCTTCAGCTGGAGGGGTGGGACAGATTTCTCTAATTGTTTGCATTGAACAGAGCATGCTCCACTGGCCAGCTCAGGAAACTCTTGGCAGATGAATTTCAGAACTCTTACTACTTGCTCAGTTGTTCAGAGGTCTCTTTATTTCCTCACAAGCAAACACAACAACTGAACAGGACTTGCACCCTGTGGGCTCTGCAGGAAGCAATGCAACGTTTGAGTTGCATGAGGAAAGGATGGGGTAAAGCAGGTAACAGCAGCCTCACAGTGCTCTGCTCCCAGCTGCATTGCTCCTTACCAAACACATCTAGCAGTGAAGAGCTGCAGTGCAGCTGTCTTGTATTTTTAAACCCATGTATTAGGGGTTTATATAAATCCAGTGTTTTATTCCTCTGTTGAGTCTCCATTTCTTTAGCATGTCACACATGTGGCACTTGGCTTTCTGTGACGTGGTGTCAGTCAAGATTGTGTTTCTAAATGTTGTGATTTTGTTATCTTGACTTCCAGCTGAGCCACATCTCTGCTGTGAGACTGATTGTGTCTTCCTTTTGCAAGGCCTTAAGTCCATCTGGGTGACACTGAGGAAATGAGGCACGAGTTTAAGGTGTGGCAGCAGCAACTCCTTTAATAACTGTTTGTAAAGCAACTCTGGAGGAAAAGAACTTTTATTCTTTAGCACAGTTCATGTCCAAGTGAAAAACCTAAAGAATAGGATCAACCTCATTCTCAAGTAAGTGTCCTTTATGTACAGTACCTTTGCAGAGGAACTCCACAGAAAATTGGTTCTGTCATGGGGCTGTTTTCCTTGGAACTATAGCAAGCTGATGAAGTTATTCCCAGGTGGGTGATTCCTTGTCAGATGGTGAATGGATCCATGATTTGTAACAAAATCTGGATTTGCAGGAAACTTTTTGGCTAACTTCACAAGGACAGTAACTATTATTCTCCTAATTGAGTTTGACCAAGTCTTAGTTCACCTTGGTAACAGTTATTAATATTCTCTGAATTCAGACATGGAAGCCAAGCTGTTTAAGGTGCCACACGTTCCTCAGGAAGGGCACAGTGGGGCCTCATGTGACAGCCCCACTTCCACTGCTGGGGCGATGAAGAGGCAGTGACTGACTGCTCAGAGATGTGCTTTCACTGTAGTGCTGAACATTCTGGCTTGCTCTGTTCTCCCCAAAGCCAAGAGAAGGGTGTCAACACCCATCTGCCCTTGTAACCTACTCAGAGGGTCAAACTCCTCCTCCAGGGGCAGTGCTGGCTCCTTACATGAGCTCTTCACAGTCCAGTGCTCCAAAGCAGCTTTGCTCAGCTCCAGGGTTGCACAGAATGCCTGGGAGCATTGGGGGGAGGGAGGCTGGTACAGCAACATGAGAATGAGAAAAAAACCATTAAAAAAGAAGGGATTTGAGGCCGGGCAGGAGGTGCTGCTCTATCGGAAGAGGCGGTAGAGCCGCGGGAGCCGCCCGTCCTTGCTGGAGAGGGCGGCCTGGATGTGCTCGTACGTGGGCAGGTCTGTCAGGTCACCCAGGGCAGCCACTGCTGGCTTCTTGTGCAGCATCTTAGTCACCACCCTCTTGATATCACTGGGTTTCACCTGACCTGCAGGCAGAAGAAAGGCAGAGCTGTGACACCTCCATTGTGAACAGCACAAAGCAGATTTGGGCCCGTGCTCAGAAAACCAACTCCACATCTTCTCTACCATGATTCCTCTTTTCCCTTCCGTCTGACTTAAATAAGCCCTGTGCTGTAATTGTGAAAGCAATTAAGCTCAGTTTGAAATGTATTCCTGTAGTATTTTCAGAGGTAACTCATCAGTGCTACAAGAATATTTTAACTGGACCTAGAGTTCCCTCAAGGTAGGGCAAAGCATTGTCTACTCACTGATGAGGTCACAGAGCTCATGAGGTAGCTTCCTTGTGTTTGTTGCCAAAACCTGCCTCCCCACATCTTCAAAGATCACTGGCCGAGACTCCAGGTTCATCATGAGCATGGACTTGAGCTGTGTCTTTGCTCTCTCAAGTTCTACCTGTAAATGAGCAGGAAATTAAAAAAAAAATCTTGTTGCTGCTCTGTAGTACAAGGTAACATGGGAGAGTTCTGCAGACACCTCTCTCTTTGTGGATGCATTGCTAATGTTGCTGTATTCTTTTACAGAAATATATAACAAAATTATCTCTAAAAATCCATTCTAGCACAGTCAATGCAATGCATTCACAGAATCCCAGAATGGGTTGGGTTGGAAGGGACCTTAAAGCCCATCCAGTGCCACCCCCTGCCATGGGCAGGGACACCTTCCACTATCCCAGGGTGCTCCAAGACCTGTCCAGCCTGGCCTTGGACACTTCCAGGGATTATTTCAGCTCAAAGACCATCTGCAAACTCAAATGTGCTGCTGACCTCTCCCACTGCTCCTGCCATGAGGATGAATTCCCTGGTGATGATTTCCACCATCTCCCGAACCTGGGGAAAACAGATGATGGAGAGAAGATCAGAGCAATGCTTCTTGTGTCCACAGAACCCTGGTACTGATGTGGTTAAGGACTCCTGTCCCTGAGTACAGGACTCTGTACCTGTTTTGGATCTGCACTGGCATGGATGCACAGCAGACCTGTGTCCTCATAGCTGTGGTGGTAAGAGGTGGCATTGTACATCCAGTGGTGCCTGTGAGTATAAAACAGCCTTTTAAAATGTAAAACCCAGAATTTACAATGTGAAAATTAAACATGGACAGTGAGCACCCTCCCAGTGCATTCTCAGGGTTCTCAGCAGTGCAGTGAGAATTGTCAATCCCTGCCTCTGACAATTTGTGCATGTGGCATCTACTCCCTTCTCTCCATTTCAGTCCTTGAATCCAGGAAAATACAGAGCCAATCCTGTTAATATTCCCTGATTAAAGCATGGACAGGGCTAAAAGAAGAAAACACAATTCCTGGTCACTTCTGCCCTTTACTTTCACCCTCTCAAAATGCCAACTGACACACCAGTCCCATGTTCCAAGCAAAATGAACTGATATAAAAAATCCTGGTGGGATTTGCTTTTTTCCATGTAAACCTGCTACAGGATTGTTTCTGGCACCCCATAAACAGCAAGACAAACCCACCTGTTGAGCACATTGAGGTAGAGCCGGGTGAACATGCCCTTGCCAGGCCCTCCAGCTGAAAAAGAGCCACCACCTCCCATCATCATGTTCAGCACAGCAAAAGGAATGAAATCGTCCTCCTGCATGGGAACAACAAACTCAGGTCATGGCAGAGCTCTCGAGGGTCTGGGGTGAGTAAAGGGGAGGGAAAAAACACAGCACAAGAGCAGTGGGAAGGGCAAAACCTTCAGCAAAGTGTCGTGGGAAATGCTGCTTGTTTTTATGTGCAGCAGCAAAAATGTCAATGTTTGTGGGATGAGTGAGTGTTCCTGGGATTCTCCAAGGAACAGGAATATGTACTCCAGGTACAGGGCACGTGAAATGGAAGGATTTCAGGTTAATACTTACTAAAAATGAGCAGCTTTCTAACCCAATCATGATGTGGGTGAGCTCTGGGATGGGAGTAGGGCCCAGACTCACATCTGACATGTCTTTTTCAACCTGTGGCAAGGGCAGACAGATCATTAACACCAGTTTTCACAGCTCTTGTACCCACTTTGATACATTTGATACAATCACCATACCACCCAATTAACAGCAGTCACGGCCAGTTTGAGGCTCATACTCATGAAATGCAACTCAAGAAAAGCAAAATCCTGTAGAGAAATCAGCAAATCCCAGCAAGCTGCCACCTCCACCACGTACCTTGATGATGCCTCCGGTGTACTGAGCCACGGATCTGTCCACAGCCCTGCCCTGCCCCGAGCCCCACACGGGCTCCACCCCCAGCAGGTATTTCCTGGCACACTCCACCAGGTGCTCGTGCTCAATGCCCACCCCAGCCAGCACCATCCTGTCTGGGGTGTAGTAACTGCTCAGGTAGGAGTGCAGCACGGCCCGGTCGATTTTGTCCGTGTTCTCCACGGGGCAGAACCTGTTCAGTCCCACTGTGTTGTCTCTGAAGGCTGCCTAAAGGGGAACAGACACATTGAAGTCACAAAAATTTTTCTCTAAACCTCATTTTGCTTTGGAATTAAGCCCACATCTGAGAGAGGAAAAGCTGAGAATATTTCAACTCAGTAACGTTTTGTCACATCAACAAAGGGAAGTTACAAATAGAATTATTTTTCAGTTTGGGTTAGAATCTTCCACGTGTGGAGAATGCTGGATTTCAAAGGGAAGGGACAGCCAAATTCTCTCATCACAGAAACTGAATAACAGAAAATCTGGTTTTAGAACAGTCTAAAATAAACCCTGAAGCTGCCAAAACACAGGAGGAATGCAGCAGGGTGGAAATGCCAGTGTGTTACCGCATGGATCATTTCTGTCAGGAGAGGCTCTGGGTCAGGTCTCATGTTCAGATCCTCCAGCTCAAACCTTATGGCCATTCGGGTCATCTCAATTTCTTCATCTGCAATGAGACAAAACAAGGGATGGCAACCCCTACAGAAAACCCCCAGCTGCTGCAAGGTCACCTCTGAGAGAATTCTGAGCTCTCAGGAGCAAGCCATGAGATGGAAATGGTTTTTTTGAGATAGAGGATTGTGCTGTCAGACCTGATAACCTGGGCTGCAGGGTTACATCAGCCAGCAAGTTGACCACGGTGTCCAGGCCTCTGGCATCAGCAGACACTGCGTACATGATGGTGTCCCTGCAACACACAACCAGGTTCTGCACTGAGACATCACTTCTGGGGTCACTCAGTGTCATCTCAGCATCAGGAAATCACAGGTGAAACTGTTCTAATCATTAAATGCTTCTCAAATGAAATAGATCTGAGTTTTATAATCTTTTCAGGCTCACTTTTGTAGTTTCCCAGCAGCCCAAACAGATTTCTGCTGCCTGGGAACAGAAAGTGGCTTTTCCTGCCCCACACCAGAAAAGAGACTCAAAGTGCTGTCAGTGCTGCACCACGCAGATAAGAGCAGAAGGAGCAAAAGGAGCAGCCCACCTCGATGCCTGGCAGTCACAAATGCCTCCATGCTTCTCCAAGGTGAGGAGAATTTCATCTTTGCTGCCAAACTGAGCTGTGGACTAAGGAAGAAGATACCAGTGTTATTAATTAGTAAAGCAATAACTGTTTATAACCCTTCAGTGTAACCAGAGCATCTCTGACATTCTTTCAGCCCAATCACTACATGCAAGCCTTGGAGGTGAAACCATAAAGACTTTTAAAATGTAATTACAATCATGCTAATTAATAAGCAATTAAGATTCTGTGACTCTGTAGATGCTGGCACCACTGTTTAACAGCTGAGGTGCAGAGAGCCCTGTGGCTCAGTCCTCCTTGGCTGCTCTGTGCAGATTTGGGGACCCAGGGCAGTACTCACAGAGAACGCCAGTTTCTCCAAGAAGTGCGAGATACCACTGAGATATTTCGCTTCGTGTCTCGATCCCGAATTCACCAGAACTGCAGCAAAGAAAAGAACAAACCAGCGTGACTTTGACACCCGCGCTCCTCACACCCACCCCCGGCTCGGGGGGAGCTGGGGTGACCCCGGCTGCCCCCGGTCCCGCCGGCACTCACCGCCCACGGTGCAGAACTGCCCGAACTTGTTCTGGGAGGCGACGCGGAGCCCGTTCTCCAGCACCGTCACCCGTGTCTCGAAGCGCTCCCGGCTCTCGGCCGCCGCGAACACGGCCTTGGGCACGCCGGGCAGCGGGCACGTCAGCGACACGCTGGGGTAGGCGCCGCCGCCGCTGTAGCTCCGGCCGGCCGCCAGCCCGCACCTGCGGGACACCGGGCACACCGTCAGGGCTGCGGGCGCGCCGCTCCGCCGAGGCCGGTACCGAGCGCTGATTCCCCCCCCAGAGCGGGTGCCGCCCGTCCCCCGCTGTCCCCTCGCTGTCCCCACCGCCGTGCCCTCCCCGCGCGGTGCCGGGCGGCGCTCACCGTCGGGCCGGGCCGCAGGCGCCGCGCCGCAGCCACGCCATGGCCGCCGCCATCTTGCCGCCACCGGGAGCGTGGGGTCAAGGGGCGGGGGCGGGGCCGCGGGTGGGCGCGGCGGCGGAGAGCGCGCGCTCATTGGTCCGCTCCGAAGGGGAGGCCCCGCCCCGCCCTCAGGCGGCCATGGCGGTGCCGGCGCTGCCGGTGGCGGAGCCGCTGCCGGGGGGCCCGGCCGAGCCCAACCCCTTCTCCTTCCACGAGTTCGTCCGCTCCAAGGCCCGCGGCGGGGGTGGCGCGGGCGCTGACACACAGGTAAGGCCGTGCGCAGCAGCGCGGCCGGGATCCGCCCCGTTACGCCGCCCACCTCAGCCCGCTGTCCCCTCCGCAGGCGGCTTGGGCCGCGCCCGCTGTGCCCCCGCTGCCCGCAGTGGCCTCAGAGTCGGGGGACGAGCAGGAGGACGAGGAGGAGGAATGGAGCGAGAGCTACCGGCCGCTGGCCGTGGAGCAGGAACACCTGGGAAGCGCCGGAGCCGCGCCGGGGCCGGGCCGGGTTCCCCCTGGGCAGCCGAGCTACGAACAGGTGAGCGCTGCCCGCCCCCGGTTCCGCTCCGTGAGAGCAGCCCCGAGCCCCGCGTGCTCCAGAGCCCGGCCTGGGCACCGCCTGCCCCCACCGAGAGCCGCTGGGGAAGAGAATGAGCTCTGGAAATGTGCGTTTCAGCAGGGCCGGGTCCGGTTCTTTCCCTGTCCTGCTGCCCTGCACATGACCCGGGTGACTTCCTCGTGCTCCTACCCTTGGGGTCATGGTCATTTAGAGTCGGCGGCATTAATTAGTCACGTTTACACTGCTGCTTCAGTGCCACGTTCCTGTGCCCCACAGTGGTTTCCAGATGGGTAAACTGAAGGTAAAATTCAGCTGGAATGTATTAGAAAGCAAAAGGATTTCCAGCATTAAAGCCGAATATTCTGCTATTGATCTTGGATTGTTGGTATTGTTGTGAAAATGCACTTCAGTCCTAATAAGAATTTTTTATTTTCTTTTTAGCTAAAAGAAGAGAATGCTATTTTGAGAAACAAGATCAACAAGCTTCAGATTCTGTCTGAAACTCAAGCAGACAAGTGCGTGAGAAGAATTCATTTTCCACAAAACCATGAGATTCTTGATCCTTTCCCAGAATTTCCCTCCTAAAGCATTTAATGGTACAAGTGCTTACTGTGTGCCATCTCTTTTTTTTCTTTTTTTTTTTTTTTGAAGGATGAGGAAGCTTGAGAAGAAGCTTGAGGAAAACAAAATCAAAGAAGAAAAGGAAGCACGGGATTTGGAAGCAATGGTGCAGCACGTGGAGCAGAATCTGCAGCTGATGACTGTAAGTGTTGGCTTTAGATTGGGCTCAGATGTCAGGAAGAAATTCTCCCCTGTGAGGGTAGGGAGGTTCTGCAGATCCCAGAAAGAAGCAGTGAGGAGGGAAGGAGGGAGCTGTTCCTACCTCCTAAAACATTCAGAACACAGCGTGGTGTAACACAAACCCTGTCCCTCCAAATGCTGTGCTAGAATCACTCATTCCCATGTGGCTCAAGCTGCCTGGGTTATTATTATTACTATTTCTATTATAATTTAATTTTTATTATTAATATTAATTTCAAGAATAAATGTGACCTTCATTGTAGCATTACTGTATAATAATTTTATATATATAATAATATTCTATTTTATTATATACAATAATATATAATACTATTATATAATAAATCTATTATTAATTTCAATAATCAAGTTTGATTATTATTAACACTATTGTTATATAATTATTATATATTGTTATATAATATAGATTATTATTATTATTATTATTGTTGTTGTTGTTGTTGTTGTTATTGTTATTGTTATTATTATTATATAAGGAACCAATTTATTATTACTATTTCAATAATCTCTATTCTGTTGCAGAAAAGGGCTGCCAAGGCTGAGAACAGTGCTGCCAAACTGAGGCAGGAGAATGCACAGCTGCAGGTACACAGCAGCACTGCTGGGGCTGCAGGGACACATCTCAGAGTTGAGCCAGTGCAAAGGATATTCCAAGAGTTTTGCAGGCTCTGAGGAAAATGCTGGGTGTGGGAGTTGTGTCCTGGCAGAGGCTGGGAGGGCCTGGATGGTGCCAGACACTTCAGTGGTGAGGAGCAATGGCCAGAAACTGAAATCAGGAAGAATTTCCTTCCATGGAGGGTGGCAGAGCCCTGGAGCAAACTGCCCAGGGAACTCAGGGAATGTCCCTCGCTGGAGACATCCAAACCCACCTGGAATTGTTCCTGTCACCTGCTCCAGGTGACACTGCTTTGGCAGGGTTGGGCTGGATACATCCAGAGGTCTTTCCAACCGTAATGATTCTGGGCAGACACTCCCTGCAGGCAGCTGGTTCTGGGCTCCAGTCCTGTTTATTGCACTGTTTATTGCACTGTTTATTGCATTGCTTATTGCAGTGTTTATTGTATTCCCTTGTGTCAGTCAATGATTACATTCCAGCCCATCAGCTGCTGTGGGAATGCACCATTAGCTGTAGAGTATCTGCTGCGGTTCCGGGGTTGTTTCTCATGGGTTCTGCCCCTCGCCCCAGGCGGAGCTGAGGAATTCCAGGCTGGAGAAGGAGGAGCTGCGGGCGGGCCAGGCGGGATTGGCCGCGGCCAAGCAGAACGCGGAGGCGGCGCTGCAGCAGCTGCTGCAGGTCACAGCCAGCTCCCGAGCATCCATCAGGTCAGCTGCGCTGGGACAGCCCTCCCGACACCCTCCTGGGCTCACAGATAAACCTCCTCAGTGGGTTTTTAGGGTTAAAATTCAGGGGTTTGTGTTCTGTGCCGGAGGAGCTGCTCTGTGTTATTACCTGCTATGTGTTTTCCTCCAAGTGTAAAAATAAGTGGGAAGTGGGAGTTTCCAGTCCTGATAAAATGCTGCTTGATAAATCACAGAATGTGGGGAAGCTCTCCCAAAGCTGCCTGGCTGCCTGTCCCCTCGTGTAACCCTGCATCTCTCCCACTCCAGGCAGCTGCTGTCTGGAGCAGAATCCCTGCAGCTCGTGGCTGATCTCCTGAAATCCATAGACAGAATCTCTGAGGTGTCAGAGGACAGACACTGAGTGACTCACACAGCACGGAGCACTTTGTTTTCATATGGAAACCATTACTAAAAAGTGATTTTTTTAATACTTGGCCTCATTTTGACGCGTCAAACTGCAGACCTGGCTTCTCCATCCCCTCCTAAGAGATCCCTGGACCGGGAAGGGAGCAGCTCCTGCGGGGCCGGGAGCGCGGCCCCTCCTCCCCGGGCACCGCCATCCCCCAGGCTGCGCTGGGCGAGCCCCGCGGCTTTGGCTGCGGCTCCCGTTGCCCTTCGGTGCTCGGGCTGCGGAGGGGGAAAGGCCCGTGGGTCGGCCGGAGGTGGGGGCGTCCCGGTGCCATTGATGGCCGTGTCCTGGTGCCACTCAAGGCCGTGTTGCGGTGTCCCGGTGTCATTGATGGCCCTGTCCCGGTGCCGCGGTCCCGTTCCGGTCCCGTCCCGGGCCGATCTCTGCGGGTCCCGGGGCCGCCCCCCGGCCGTGCACGTGCGCCAAGCCCCGTCCCGATTGGCTGAGCAGTGTCACGTGCCGGATCAGCTGACCCGCGCTCGCAGCAGCGATTGGCGGGGCGGGGGGGCGGGGGCGTGGGCGGGGCCGGCGCAGCCCCGGGAGCGGCGGTGCCGCCATGTCCCGCGGGCCGGGCCCGGCCGGGCCCCTGCGCTCTCCTCAGGGCCTGGACCTCGATGCGGAGCGGGAGAAGATCCGCCGCGAGATCGAGCAGCTGGAGCGCAGCCTGCAGCCCGGCGGGGCCGACATCCAGCTGGCCCTGTCCGACTCCAGCCTCAGCTCCGGTACGGCTCCGGGGGGCTCGGGGCGCTCCCCGGCGCTTTGCGCGTTCCCTCTGCCCCCAGAACCGGCAGTAGTGCAATGGCGGGGCCGAGGCAGCCTCACCCAGCGCTGTGTGAGCCGTAGCATGCCCAGCGTGACCAAAGCGGTGTGCGGAGCGGAGCGGTCGGTGCCGGTGGGAACGGCGCTGCCCGAGCGGCTGCACCCCCGGTCCTGCGGGCGCTGCGGCTCCGGGACCCCGCCCGCAGCCTGTGCCACCCCCGGTGCTGCGGCTCCGGGACCCCCGCCCGCAGCCTGTGCCACCCCCGGTGCTGCGGCTCCGGGACCCCCGCCCGCAGCCTGTGCCACCCCCGGTCCTGCCGGGCGCTGCTGGTGCCAAGGCTGTGCTGTCTTGCCTTGGAGCTGTCCCTGGGCTCTCACCCGGAGCCTCTCCTGTGCAGCAGCACCGTTCAGCTTTGCTGTGCTTACCCTGAACTGTTCTCCAGAACAACAACACACAAACAAAAAAAGCATAAATGGACTGTAACAATGCACTTTTTACATGACAACGTTGTCAGTATCCAAACTCACTGATGGTCATGTTTGAGCTCTCTCTGGTGCTTTTTCCTCTGTGCTTTAATTGAAAAGATTTGGGTTTAAAGCTTTTCTTTTATTCCACTACAATCAGCATTTTTGTGTTTTGTTTATCTAACAGATGGTGATGATGCAGATGATGATGATGAAGATTCTTATGCTGAAATGGTAACTGTTTTTTTTTAAAGTATGTATTTCCAGTTTTGAAGGGAAACCTCACCCTGCTCTGGGGAAATTCAGCCTTGGCTTTGTGCTCAGGAAAACCTGGATTTGGGGTGTTCCTGCCCAGGACTTTGTTATCCAGGCTCAGAGGCCTCCCTGCAAACCTCTCAGGCTGTGAGAACACAGCAGCTTCAGCTGAGGAAGGGCTGAGTTACAGCACTGGTTGTTACAGACCTGCTTTTGTCACTTTTCTCCCTAAATGCCTTCTCTGCCTCCAGGAAGTGGAAGTGGAAGAAGACAGCAGTGATGATGATGATGATGATGATGATATTGAAAGCCTGCCCCAGGATCCAGAAACCTGCCTGCAGATGAACCATGTGTACCAGGACGTTATCAAGGAAAAGATTGAGGAGGTGGAGCTGCTCATTGCACAGAACAGAGCACAGCAGGTGAGCAGAGCAGCAGTGAAATGCTCATTTCTGTGCTTTTCTGGGTTGCCATTTGCCTTCCTTCCTTCCCCTCAAGCCCAGGACTGAGGTGGTTTATTTAACTGATGATTCTATGCTTTCTTACAATAAAAAGGGTATTTTACATGTTATTTTTTAGCTTGTTGTAGCAAGTTAGTATTTTATTAAGCTTATAATCATCTGCACAGTGCAAGCTCAGCAAGTTCCAAATGCTGCCTTTGAGTCCTGCACTGATTTTGAATCTGGTGCTGCAGGTTTGAGCCCTGGGGTGTTTGTGAGGGCTCAGCTCTCTGAAATCAGCACTTTGGGGGAGACACTGATGCTGTTCAATTCACTCTTGTATTGCAGAAGGAAATCATGGGTGAGCGTGATGCTTCAAAAACAACCAAGGCAGGAGATGGCAGAAATCTACCTGCAAATGTGTTTTTGGGTCATTTTATGAAGCCATACTTCAAGGATAAAATAACAGGAATTGTAAGTAAATAAAAGCAGCTTGCAGACTGGTGTGTCTTCAGTGATGGTTGTGCACTGTAATGTGTTTGAACTGTTCTCATTTCAGGTGTGTGACTGTCACTCCTCAGCCTGAAACCTTTTCCTTCTCACTTGTCACTCTCCCTCTTTTGGAAATGTTTGTTCAGCCCTGTGAGGTCTGAGGAGTGGAATTGCAGCCACCAGGGGCTTGAATGTTCTTGAGTTTAACTTAACTTTAATTGTCTTCATTTCCGTGACCCAATTCCATGCTGCTCTTTAAAGCCCTCACTGAAATCTGATCTGTTTGTCTGGGAAACTGAGTTTTCTCAGTTCCTGAGATTTTCTGTATTTTTTTCTATTTTCTGGTACAATCAGTAGTACTTTTTTAATGTGTTTTTAAAAGGCCATCATCAAAAGGAGATCTTGGCTTTTTGTGGTAGCCAAGATGTCAACTATCATCATCCATATATTAATATATTCAAGCAATTACTGGTAATATTTCTGTTTAATTAAATGAAACCTGTGAGCTCTTGCTAACAAAAGTAGCTAAGCAGTGTGAGTGTGACAGTTTGCACAAGTTTGGGTTTCCAGTTATTGTTGTAGCAGTTCATGCTGGAGTTTTAAGAAGAAACAGTAATTTTGTCTGACTCTGAGTGTATCTAACCCTTCTAATCCTCATCAGGGCCCTCCTCCCAATGAAGAGGCCAAGGAAAAGGCAGCTCAGGGCATAAAATCCTTTGAACAGCTGCATTCAGCCAAGTGTAAGTAAGTCTGGGTGTTGTTCAGTGCCCTGGAACAGCTGTAACATGTATATATTTATATAACCAATGTATATATTCATATTGTTTGTGTGTGTTCCTGTTTGCAGTTAAACATCAACACCTCTGCCTGACTCACAAAAAGTTGTTAGAAGGGAATGGGGTGCTCTGTAGATTATTTCAGTGAGTCATTAAGGACTTCTTTTCCATTTGTTCTGCTGCTCAGCTCCTGTGAGCACTCCTAAACCAAGTAAGGTGGTGCAAGGTGCCCAGATGAGGGCAGTTCAGGGGACACCTGCAGCTCCAGATGCTCACAGGGTGATTCCTTTATTGGGGTCTCTTTGGGGATCCCAGTAGAACCGAGCCAGAGGCTGTGCCTTGCCCAGGGCTGACACCACGTGGGTGATTTATGCAGGGAGCTCTCCCTGCAGAGCTGCAGGGCATTCCCTGGCAGCACTGGCTGTCTTCTGGCAGTGGTTCTGCACTGATCCTGGCTGCTCCCTGTCTGCTTTAGGGAAAGCTGCAGAGAAGACACTGCTGCAGAAATCCGTGGTGAGCGACCGCCTGCAGCGCCTGCTCCAGCCAAAGCTGCTCAAGTGAGTTCAGCCCCAAAATCCCCTCTTCTCCTGCTGAGAACACTGCATGGCAAAGGAGAAGGGACATGTACAGATTTCCCCTTCCTCCAGCAAGTTCCTGTGTTACTTGTGTTTGGAATTTTACAGTCATCTACTTCTTCCCCTTGGCACCGTGGTGTAACTTAAAATACTTGGTAGGGCTTGGAGCTGAAATTGTGATATGAGGCCTAAAGGTGTGGATTTCTGTGCTGGAGCTGGCACAGTCTATATGGCTGTTGCAGCAACCATTGGTTCTCTGTGTAAACACCAAAATGGTTTATCTGAAACCTGCTGTGGGTCAGGGTTTGCACTGAAGGGGCAAAAATATGGCAGTGAGTGTGCCTTGTGGGAAACCCTGGGGGAACAGTTTGGTGTGGAAATAAACCTGAAGGGAGGAATGAAACTGATGGGGAAGGTGTCTCTGCTGTACATCTCCTGATGCCATTGACCTCATTCCCATCTGTCCTCTTAAGTGGTGATAAAAATGTCTTTGAACAGGTTGAGTTATTGGAATCAGAAACTGGAGAAAATCAAGACTGAAACAGAAAAAGAGACCTTGGAAAAGCAAATCAAAGACTTGGAGCAAGAAATAGAGGCAATTAAGTAAGAAGTCTTTCTATGTTCTTGGTGAAGAATGAAATGTCTTAGAGTTTAGCTCTAAAAGTTCCCTCCTACTTCTAGATGGGTCATTGGTGTTGGGTTGTAAAAAATTAGGTGCTGTTGTGGCTCTGCAGCTCTCTCATCTCCACTGTTCTTTACTAAGAAATGTGTTTGGGTCTTGATACACAGAGTGCCTGCACCCAGTGTAGAGGTGCTGCTTTAAATGGTTCTTTAGCAACAAAGGAGCAAAGCTCTGCTTTTTCCATAGTTTTGAGCTTTTGCTCATGAACAAATATCAAGCAACATGTTTGGATATGGCATTAATTGTTTCTCCTGCTAATCTGAGTGTTCAGTTCTTTGGAAGTCAGGAACAGGTGGGAGGAATGAGAGGAGGCAGGATCAAGAAGACAAAGTGTTTCATTAACCATTTAATAAGATTCTTTCTTCCTTTTTGTACCTTCTGCTGTAGCCAACTCCCAGAAAGTGACTTAATAGGAAACAGATTCGATGAGCATGACTGGGACAAAATCTCAAACATCCATGTGAGTTGGGGGATCAGCTGTTTTATTGCTTCTGATATCTGGGTCCTTCCTCTTGAGAATCTCTGATCTGGTTTGCATCCAATGTTTCCATCTTGCATTTCTCCAAGCTGACTGT